AAAAAGCTGAACCCCAAGGGGTACGTGTAGTATCTTAGAGCCCCAAGGCAGGGCCCAAGATGAGCCTCACACATCCCCAAGACCCATCAATTTCGGCCCAGCTGGTAGAAATCGGGGCATTCCAACGGTTTGGGTTGGGGTCTATAGGATTAACCCTAAACCCTAAACCCTAAACCCTAAACCCTAAACCCTAAACCCTAAACCTTTAGGGCTCAGGGCTTCGGGCTTAGGGCTTCGGGCTTAGGTGTAAGCTACAGGGATTTGGGGCCCCGGGTCAAGTGTAAAGGTTTCATTGCCGATTTGCCGGACTTAGCCCGAAGTCAAGGGTTTAGGGTTCAGGGTTTAGGGTTTAGGGTTTAGGGTTTAGGGTTTAGGGCCTTGCCCTACGTATGATTCCCTCTTTCTTGCGGGCCCACTCCGTTCGGCATCATGGTTCAGTAGGACACCCCTTACAGGATCACGTCTTCATGGTCCTCGGGGGAGCTTTGGTTGTCGATTTGGCGGTTAGGGCCCACGCTAAACCCTAAACCCTAGACCCTAAACCCTAAACCCTAAACCCCTAATTCTTTCCGAGCTCCATCCATCGCATCCCATGCAGTTTGGGGGCTCAGAAGGTGCCCTCCCACTTAATTCTACTGTGCCTACAACCCTAGGTGCCCTAATGTGGTTATAATTGGGTTATAAGTACCCTAAACCCTAAACCCTAAACCCTAAACCCTAAACCCTAAACCCTAAACCCTAAACCCTAAACCCTAATTGGTTTACAAGTGCAGTTTCTTCTTGGGCTACGAAGTACCATGAACCTCCAAGCACCCTGAGGCCGACCCTCGCACGCCCAGCCCCGCAACGCGGGTGGTACAGATGAAGAGCAGGCCAGGTTGAGGGGGGTTTAGGGTTTAGGGTTTAGGGTTGAGGGTTGAGGGTTTAGGGTTTAGGGTTTAGGGTTTAGGGTTTAGTCAGCAAGTCCAGCTTCAGAACGTGTACGTAGGCTTTGTTTGGTTGGTTGTGGGCTTAGAGTCGGAGGGTTTGCTGGCTCTATCTCTCGCAGGTTATGCAGCTGATGGGGTCCTGCACGGTCCCTAAACCCTAAACCCTAAACCCCAAACCCTAAACCCTAAACCCTAAACCCTAAACCCTAAACCCTAAACCCTAAACCCTAAACCCTAAACCCTAAACCCTAAACCCTAAACCCTAGCCATGAGCCCCCTATGGCAGGATTCAGTTGTAGGGGTCTAAGGATTTTAAGCTTCGTAGGATTTGGGAGCGCCGGGCTCCAACTGCCTTAGCAAGCATGTTCATAGCTTTCTCTTAAACGCAGCAATTTAGGGGTCGGAATAATTTCTGATACTATTCCCTTATTGTCCCTTTGTAATTATTCTCTAACAACCCCCCAAAACCCTATTCTAATGAACAAGGCACCTATATTATTGAAATTGAAGTGTGCCACTGCAGACCATGCCCCCGGTAAAGCGAATCAGGGTCACACAAAATTTGTAGTCGAGCATTTGGTTTTCCACTTTGCTTACAAGCAGCTACAAGAACATACCAAACACGTAGTGAGCAGAACTGCTACTGGGACACTCGCATGCACAACACCCTCGATCCTCGATTCTCCCGGCTGTCGCTCCTCATTTCCTGGACGCTTTTAAGTATGAGACGTTGCTGTCTTGTCATTTGTGAACCCCGATATGTTTTTGGAATCTGCCAGTGTTTGCACGAGCACAATTACAATTACCCAGCCCGATGTTACCACACGAACTTCCAGGGCTATGAAATGCAAGATGTTTATTCGTATGCTGTCTTGTCGCACCGCCGCACCTGAGCGAACGAATGGAAGGGTGGATTTCGGAGGTGATTACGACAGCGGCGAATCGGTCACTGCTTGATAGGGAATACTTGTGCCATCGCACCCAACAGCACCAGCTGTAGGTGCAGGAGTAGGACTAGGCTTGGGAGTTGCGCAGGTGGGAGTAGCAGCAGCTTCGCAGTAGGATGGGAGTAGGAGGTTATAGTAGTACAAGTAGGAGTAGCAGAACCCTAAACCCTAAACCCTACAGTGAGGCCCGTCCCTCGGCCGTTGCAGCCCTTAGCGGTGAGCAACCGCTCGGCGCAGACGGCGGAGCCTGGGGCAGGCCCTTTTTGGGGTTAGAGGTTTAGGGTTTCCCCTAAACCCTAAACCCTAAACCCTAAACCCTAAACCCTAAACCCTCGTTGAAAAAAAAAAGTTTGGGAGTCAGGGTGACCGGCGAGAGCCGGTTCGTGCTCTGCACAGGCATGTGTTTCAGGGTTGCAGGTGTTTGCGGCCTCTCATAGACATCATTCAGGAGGGCCTAATATAGGGGCCTGAATAATTAGAATAGGGTTTTGGGGGGGTTATTGTAGTATAAATTTTACTGGGGCCATAAGGGAATATGATTAGCAATTCTTCCGGCCCCTAGTTTACCCAGGGCGATTGAGGCCTTCTTTGCACCCAACCATGCGTACTTCTGCCACGTGGGGTTTAGCATGCAACTAGTTGGGTGCTTAAGATGTGTCCAGGGTTTGGTTCTCGGCATCAGCATGAGTTGCGTGAAGAATGTGCCTTCACTGCGATCGCATGATTCTTAGAGGATACAAGTCCTCACAGGGTTTAGGGTTTAGGGTTTAGAAGTCCTCACCAGGGTTTAGGGTTTAGTGGTCAGGAGACCTTTTGCAACAAAAAAAGGGTGGCAGTCCAGAACAACCCTAAAACCCTAACCCCCTAAACCCCTCAACCCCTACACCCCTGAACCCTAAAGCCCTAAAGCCCTAAAACCCTAAACTCCTAGACCCCAAACCCTGAAACCCGAAACCCCTAAACCCCTAAACCCCGAAACCCTAAACCCCTAAACCCTAAACCCCTAAACCCCTAAACCCCAAACCCTAAAACCCGAAATCCCTAAACCCCTAAACCCTAAAACCTAAAACCCTAAAACCTAAAACCCTAAACCCTAAACCCCTAAACCCCAAAACCCTAAAACCCGAAACCCCTAAACCCCTAAACCCCTAAACCCCTAAACCCCTAAACCCCTAAACCCCTAAACCCCTAAACCCCTAAACCCCTAAACCCTAAACCCTAAACCCTAAACCCTAAACCCTAAACCCTAAACCCTAAACCCTACCCCCACTTTGTAAAAAAAAGAAAGCCAGGCAGTAGCTCCATGAGGCGGTTGGTCACCGTCGTGCGCCAGCCGGGGCCTCATTTTGGAAGGGCTCGGGGCTTAAGGTTGTGGGGCTTTTAGGGTTAGGGTTTAGGGTTTGGGGTTTAGGGTTTTGGGTTTAGGGTTTTAGGGCTTTAGGGTTTAGGGTTTGGGGTGGGCGGAGCTATCGGCCGTCTGCATGTTTCTGTCATAGCCCAGAAGGCAGACAAAGAGGGCCCACATGAGCCGCTTATCACACGTACCTCCACACTTCATAGTTTTAAGCTTTTAGGGCTTGCTTGATTACTTGTAGGAGACTTTAGTTTGCATCCCTTCTGAAATGCCTTCAACCCTAAACCCTCATTCACAAAGCCACCCCACCCCTTGGAACAGAGACCCCATGAAGGGCCCCGATTTAGAGAACTACACCTTCACAGCAGGTCAAAGCACATGCGGCGAAACCATAGACCCTAGACCAAAAAACCTTAAACCTATATACAAACCCATATGCCAAAACCTAAGACAGGTGTTGTGCTGAGCCCGGGACACTTTCCTGGCCCCTAATTGAAACCTATGGGTATGCACCCTAAACACCAAACCCGAAACGGCCTAAGCCCTAAACGCCCTAAACGCCCTAAACCCCGAACCCTCAACCCCAAACCCTAAACCCCAAACCCTCAACCCTAAACCCCAAACCCCAAACCCCAAACCCCAAACCCCAAACCCTAAACCCTAAACCCTAAACCCCAAACCCTAAACCCTAAACCCCTTGTGGCATACACCCAAACCTTCGTGGCGAGGCCTGGCAGCCCGCTGGGCCAAGGCCGAGTCTCGGCGCGGGCCTTCGCTTTGCTTGGCCCTTTCAGGGTAAGGTTATAGGGTTTAGGGTTTAGGGTTTAGGGTTTAGGGTTTAGGGTTTAGGATTGAGGGTTTAGGCTTTAGGCTTTAGGGTTTAGGGTGTTGGGCAGTCAGCAAGTCCAGCTTCAGAAAGGCAGTATTCCGGCGGTTCTGAGGGCTCCTGCAAGCACCTCTAAACCCTAAACCCTACACCCTAAACCCTAAACCCTGCCTTGCGGTTCGGCCAGCTATGCGGGAGCGAAAAAAAACCCTAAACCCTAAACCCTAAGCCCTTAGCCCTTAACCCTAAACCCTAAACCCTAAACTCGCTTGCAGAAAACCCTAAACCCTAAGCCCTAAGCCCTAAACCCTAAACCCTAAACCCTAAACCCTAAACCCTAAACCCTAAACCCTAAACCCTAAACCCTAAACCCTAAACCCTAAACCCTAAACCCAAGCCCGAAAACCTAAGCCGAGAAGCGTTTTGAGATCGATCGGGGGATGCCTGTAACTCTGACCAGCTAAGTGGCTTAGGGTTTAGGTTTTAGGGTTTAGGGTTTAGCGTTCAGGGGTAGTGAGCTTTTCGTAGCTAAACGCAAATACATCACAAGCCGTGGGTATAGAGATATGAGTGCAACCTAGTCCAAACCCCCGGTTTAAATCAATAGGCCCCTATACCTACCAGTTCTTCGTAGGAATTCGGTACTTTCTATCCCTAAACCCTAAACCCTTGAGCCCATATATGCAGGCTTGAAGACTGCTGGTGCTGTGAGGGGCTTGGCTCGAGCTGGCTAGAAAGGCAGCGAGACGCAGGGTCCCTCCTTTTCCGCTGCTTGGTACCCAGTGGTGCCTTTTTCCTTTTTGTTGGGGGGGAGGGAGGGGGGGGGGTCAAGGTTCCCTTATGCTTCGGATTTAGGGTCTAGTGTTTAGGGAGAGTAACTAACCAAAAAAAGGCACCCTTGTTGTAATAGGGTTTCTGGGCCACCAAGGTTGTTCAAAGCGACCATGTACCAGGTCTTGCTTGGTGTGTGCCTGGCAGCCTGTGTGCTACCATCTGCGTCGGATGAAGTTGCGCTCAAAGCAGATGACCAGTGCGGGGACGGGCAAGTGTGTGCCTTACTTTGCCTTAGTTGACCTTTAAGCTTTTTGGGTTTCCTTATTTTAGTAGGAATCTTAAAGTTCAACCTTTGTTCCCCTTGGTTATTGGAGAAGTAAGGTGCTCTCAACGCACTGCAGTCCAGATCTCAGGTTCTTCCAAAATCTGGCCTTCAGCCAGCTCCAGCTGATCCACCCTTGGCAGCTGACAAATCATGGCCCGCTCAACCAGCTCCTATATCCCCCTTGGGAATGATGATTATTTTGTGCTTGTATAAAACCCAAGAGGATATTAAAAATCATATGTTTATAAAGGTTCTAGGGGGAGTCTAGGCTCCAGTTGACCCACCGGCAGCTGACAAAGCACTGCCGGCTCAACCGGCACTGCCAGCGCCGGCCAACACCTACCCAGTGAACGTGTCTGCCCTTCCTTGGGCATCGGGATCATCGCTGAATTCTCCAAGCGCATCGCCTCTGCTCACCTTCTACATGTACCGTGCAGTGTCAGATGAAGTGCACCCCTACTTGCACTTCAGCACATGCCCGAGGGAATACCCCTTAACTGTGAACTTTTGAAGGCTCCTCTCAACTTTCAGAAAAGGGCACCTGGACCTATCCCGAAACCCTATGAAACCCTACGAAGCCCTATGAAATCCTATAAGCCCTATCTATCGGTGAGGTTTAGGGTTTAGGGTTTAGAGTTTAGGGTTTAGGGTTTAGGGTTTAGGGTTTAGGGATCCTGTATACAAACCCTCTAAAGCCTCCACTGCTTGAGGTACCCACCTTTGAACACCAACATGGCGAGCTTAGGTGGTGCTCTCTGGTATCTGCACCATGAGGTCTTTGTCATAGTTGGGTACCATTTTGCATTTTTCAGTAGGGTACTTAAACCCTATATGGAATAAACATTTAGATTTTTTGATAGTATCCGCCCATGAACTAGAGGTGGTCATCCAGTCCCCCCGAAAGTTCCTTGGGTGCTTGGGAAACACTTTTTTTCAGGTTTAGGGTTAGGGTTTGGAGGGTACCATAGTCCCTCAAGAACAGCTACAACTATGTGTCTTTGCCAGTAATCCCTAAAGAACAGCTAGATTTATCATCTTTGCAAGGGTGCCAAGTGCAGTATAGGTTCGACATCACGCGGATCTTGCGCTACAAGGCGAGAAACCCTATACCCTAAACCCTGTACCCTAAACCCTAAACCCTAAACCCTAAACCCTAAACCCCCAGATGCAAGCCTAAACCCTAGATCCTGCAAGGTGCAGATGCGTGCCACGACGCCGCTGCTGCGCCTCGGAATGCACTTCGGCGTGCGCCTGGCCTATGACACTCGGTAGTCCAGTGGTGCCCTTTTTGTTATGTTTGTTGGTTTAGGGTTTGGGGTTTGGGGTTTGGGGTTTGGGGTTTGGGGTTCGGGGTTCCTGCTAAAGTAACCAACAACAAAGAGGGTACCCGTACTCTACCAAGGACAAGGGACAGGCCACGGGACCTTTCGTCTGCGGGCGCAACGAAATCAGAAGCAAAAGTGGGGCGATTGACGGCTACAGCCCAAAGTTTTGTGGCGACGGCGGGTTCAGGAAGCAGTACCTCCCAGACCTGAAGCCTTACAAGGACGAGTATGAGTATGCCGCCTATGGCTACAACGTCGGTTGCAACAAGTTGGGCGAGTATCCGTTTCCAACGGACCCAGTGTACTATCCGAACGCAGTCTGGTACACCATGCCCGGCGCATGCCCAAACAACTTGTACTACGACAAGGACTGCGCCGTGCGTGGTGATCATGGGTTTTTAAGGTGTCCTGAATCTAAGGTTTCAAGTATGGGCCCTCAATTGGGGTCCCTTGTTAGGCCTGATACACTATACAGAATACGGGCCCATACTCCGGATCCCTATAAACAAGGGTAAGGTACCATACTCAGGGCCCATTGTTCCGACCTCAGGCTTGCGATGTTCGCCCTAAACCCCAAACCCGATACAGCCCCCGGCGTGACAGGCTTGCCAGGCTGACCCGTGACATCACCCCCCTCCCCCCGGCACAAGCAGATAAGGCAACAAGGGCCCTAAACCCTAAACCCTAAACCCTGAACCCTGGCAGTAAACATAACAACCACGAGCCCAGGACAACTCCTGCCAAGCCAGCAACCCAGGTGGCTACTGCCCGGGCATCGAGCCAAACGGCAACTGGGACCTCTTAAGATTTGCAAGTTCCCATAGACGCCCTTTTTTAAGCCAAAAGAGTACCCTTTTTTATTCTCAGGTTCCTCTTGGATCTACACCCTCAACCCCAAACCCTAAACCCTAAACCCCAAACCCTTAACATGGCTCCTTACCGCCTGTAAAGGGGGGTTTAGGGTTTAGGGTTTAGGGTTTAGGGTTTAGGGAATTAACTAGTCCCCTTTCAAGGGCGCATCCTAAGGGACCATGTAACTACCCTAAACCCTCTCTACCATACACATTTAGACCTTAATTGAGTTTCAGAATAAGGCCGCTTTATTTTCAAAATATGGCCGCTTTAGTTTTCAGAATTTGGCCGCTTTGTTTTTCAGAATTTGGCCGCTTTATTTCAGAATTGGCCGCTTTATTTTCAGAATTTGGCTAAAATCAGGCCAAAGGCTAATTGGATTTCAGAATTTGGCCTCTCTGTTTTTCAGAATTTGGCCGCTTCATTTTCAGAATTGGCTGCTGCATTTTCAGAATTTGGCCGCTTTATTTTCCGAATTTGGCAGCTTTATTTTCAGAGTGTTTTCTCTGAATTTGGCAGCTTTGTTTTCAGAATTTGCCGCTTCATTTTTGGAATTCTGCGCTTTATTTTCAGAATTTTACCTTTTGTTCCCTCTCTACCATATATGAATTAGTATGTTCGGATGCGGTGGGATTCTTTGGGCGCGTGGTAAACCCTAAAACCCTAAACCCTAAACCCTGACCCCTAAACCCTAAACCCTAAACCCTAAACCCTAAGACCAAGGCAATGGCACCTGCACCTGGAACTATGAGGAGGCAGGCGAGATTAGCCTCGATGAGCTGGTCGGCATTAAGGACTACAACGCCTGGAGATGGGGCCACAGGGAGTCTGGGTTTAGGGTTTAGGGTTTAGGGTTTAGGTATCTATCAAAGGCCCGTTAAGGACGGGATCGAACAGCCTGTGAGGAAGAACGGGATCGAACAGCCTGTGAGAACAGCTAAGGAGTACGATCCGGAAACGGATGAAGGGGTCAAGTTCACTTGGTGGAATGGCATCAACAGCACTACGGCCAACGAGGCTCGCGTCAAGCAGGCCGCCGAGCTTTTCGACACATAGTAGCTGAATGAGTACACTTTCACACTTTTTGGGGAAGATTAACCCTAAACCCTATAATTAGAACTGAAAGTGTACTTTTTCTTGGGGGGCTTATGAACTCAGCAACTAAGGACAGCAAGTATCCAGACATGCCGACGGTCGCCGAGCCTTACTTCGCCTTTAGTTGAACTTTAAACTTTTGTTGGGTTTCCTTACTTAGTAGGAAGATTAAGCTAGTTGAACTTTAAAAACCTTTTTTGGGATTCCTTACTAGTAGGAATATTGTAAAGTTTAACCTTTGTTTTTCTCCCCTACACCCTAAACCCTAAACCCTAAGCCCTAAACCCGAAACCCTAAACCCTAAACCCTGGTTATTGGAGAAGTAAGGAGCTCACGAATCCCCCCTGCGACTTCGACTTCGGCCATTTCTACAAGCAGTGGTACCTTATCAGAGTTGGGCACCATTTTTTACATTTCTAAGGATACTTAATCCCTGTAGGGTTTAGGGTTTAGGGTTTAGGGTTCAAATTTTTAATACTATCCCAACCATTAGCCAGGTACCGCAAGGACGGATACAGCGGGCCGTGTGGACCTCCCAACGCCAAGTGCAAAGGTGGAATCTTAGGGGTACTTGGAAATAATTGTTAATTTTGGGGTACTGTAATTCCTAAGAAACAGCAAGACATATTTTTTGGCTAGGGTTCCAAGTTAAGTATAGGAATGGGCTGGGTTCGCCACACGGGCCTCGTGAAGCATCCCTCATGGTACGTGCCCCTGACGACCTCTGCAAGTGACGATGACATCCAGCGCCTAGGTCGCCCGGTGGTGCCCTTTGCCCTTGTTTGGTTCAAGGTTGCCTTGTAAAGTAGCTAGCCAAAAAAGGGGTAGCCTTATTAAAAATAGGGTTACTGGGCTATACCAAGGCGCCTGCTGTATCAGCTTGGAAAGAACGAGTGCCGGCGTCCCTGCGAGATTGGGGAGGAGCCCACGATCGTCAAGCCCAAGCCCAAGCCCCACACGCGGTACCGCTGAAGTCCTACGTGCCGACATGGCGCGTTTTTGGTCTAACTCCGCCTTTTAAAAAGGACTGCAGTAGAAGGAGCCACCCAAGAGCCAAAAAGACTCCGTTGCTTTGCATGCCCTCTATCGGCTCCGCCCAGAGACCCCGACTCAGCACCTCCTGCACAGTTCGCATGGGTTTCGGGTTTAGGGTTTAGGGTTTAGGGTTTACGGTTTAGGGTTTAGGGTTTAGGGTTTACACCACCCTAAACCCCTAAACCCTATAAGTTGGGCTGCTGCCCTTTTTGCAGTCCCTGATAGAGATTACAGTACCTCCTATTATAATCCCTGTCAAGGACTGTTCGTATAACGGGGGAACATCCCACCTAAACCCTAAACCCTAAACCCTGAGCTCCCAACCTAGAAGCCCAAACCTCAGCTGACTCCAGCGGTGGAGGTCTGACTCGCTAGGCGGAAGGCAAAGGGTTTTGGATCTTAGGGTTTAGGGTTTAGGGCTTAGGGTTTATTTAGGGTTTACGGTTTAGGGTTTAGGGTTTAGGGTATAGGGAACCCGTGGCTAAGCCCTGTACTAGCAGGTTCAATGGGTAGTTACCTGCTATTTGCTTAGGAACCACCCAACAGATGAAGTGTTTTCGTCCTGACAAGGCGAAGATAAGGGGTTTTCTTCTTTATTCTTTTGGGTTTCTGAAGCAAATTGCAGTCAAAGGGCAGTCCCCACGCTCAATTTCAGGTGTCGCCTGTGCGGCAACTGGCGCAGGCTGCTAGTACTCAGGGCAAGAGAAAGATGAGTTTCAGGGTTTAGGGGTTTAGGGTTTGGTTTCAGGCTTTCAGGCGTTTTAGGCTTTCAGGGTTTCAGGGTTTCATGGTTCAGCGTTTCAAGTTCCTCTCAATACGGAGGCTTATACCCAAAACAAGAGGGTTATGGTTTAGGGCTTCAGTTTGTGGAGTTGAGCTTGAGACTGTAGGGTTAAGCCCCGCCCCCGGCATGTCAAGTGGCCCAAACAAAGCTGAAACCTTCGGGTTTCCTCCTATTTTCCAAACTTTGAGTATTCTGTGGGTTTAGGGTTTAGGTTCAGAACCCTAAGCTCTAAACCCTTAGTCCGCTGTGCCAAAACAAACCCCTAGTCTTTCTGGGTTTAGCCTTCGTTACCTGTTTTTTCCAGGTCTTTTGGTGGCATCTTGCACCCTTTAGAAACTCTGGAACCCCACGAAAGATCTCGTCAAAGCCACAATACGCCCCATGCCCTTTAGGGTTAGGGTTTAGGGTTTAGGGTTTAGGGTTTAGGGTTTAGGGTTTAGGGTTTGGGGTTTTGGGTTTCGGGTTTCGGGTTTAGGGTTTAGGGTTTAGGGTTTAGGGTTTAGGGTTTAGGGTTTAGGGTTTAGGGTTTAGGGTTCCTAAACCCTGAACCCACCACCCTAAAACCGGGGTGGGAGGCGCCCAGCTCGCAGAACGTTTCCCCGGTGGCATCGGCCCAGGTGACGCGTTGGGGGTTTATGGCTTTCGGGGTTTCGGGGGCCCCTAACCCTAAACCCTAAACCCTAAACCCTAAACCCTAAACCCTAAACCCTAGCTTTTCTCCTTAAGGTCGTACCCTTGGATTTGGGGACCCGTTTACAAGATCCTCTAAGGAAAGAATGTTTCAAAGATTTTCTTGCTTGGCCAAGAGTTGAACTTCAAACATTTTGGGTTTCCTTATTTTGTACGAATAATCAAGTTTAGAACCTGTTTTCCCTTTGGCTATTGGAGAAGTAAGTTCATGGCTTTCGGGGTTTCGGGGGGGGGGGGGGGCTTCTCCTTAATGTCTCTTAGGGACTGGGTGGGTAACCTTTAACCTTTTTGGTTATATAGAATGCTACTATAACCTTTTTTGGTTATATAATATAATCCTACTATACCCTTTTTGGTTATATAATATAATCCTACCTTGGCCTTTTTGGTTATATATATATAGAATCCTAGGTTATATAATATAATCCTACTTTAGCCTTTTTGGTTATATATATATAGAGAGAGAGAGAGAGAGTCCTAGTATACATAAAGGGTCAAACTTTTCTGGGCCAGGGCAGTCAGCCCCCTAGGAGGTTGTACCCTTGGATTTGGGGACCCTTTTTCGAGATCCCCACTCTAAGGGACTCTAAGGGTTTAGGGTTTAGGGTTTAGGGTTTAGGATGGATTTGGGGACCCTTTTTCGAGATCAGGTGCATATTGCGAGTATGGTAAGGGAGCCTCTGAGGTGTACGTCCTTGGGGGGGGTCGAAGTTTGCCTGGCTTGATCCTCGTGAATCCAACGTCTCCTTTTGCCAGTGCCAGGTCGCCCAAGAATTCCATAAGGGGTATGAGGGGTATGATTCTTATGACCTACGATTGCTTTTAGGGGGTTGTTTTATCCCTTCATCCTAAACCCGAAACCCGGTACTCTTTAGAGAGCGAGGCTACTGGGGGTTCCACGGGTTGATAGGGTAGTAGAGGGCTTACGGGTTTCAGGGTTTAGGGTTTGGGGTTTAGGGCTTGCAGGGGTGCAGCTACAGGCAACCCTAAACCCTAAACCCTAAACTCTAAGCAGTAGTTGGTATCTCGTAAGCAGGTGCAACCCATGAAGCTACTGCAGGAGCCTACATGATTGCCAAGGTCATCCCCTGATAACCTCTACATGTTGGGAATGCTCCCCCTTATACTAAGAGTCCTTACTAGGGATCTATAATAATCCCTATTAAGGACTGTTAGTATACTGGGGTCGCATCACCTTAAATGCTCGGTCTCATTAAAGTGGCTCCTGCTTTGCAGGCTAGGGTGGAGAGAACAGAGTGTAGGGTTCCAGTAAGGGCAGTTTGGATTGAGGATAGCCCGTCAATTCGGTTCCCCATAGAATCCCTGAAAGTGAGATGTGGATAAAAGGTACCCCATTCCTGAAAAAATTCCATTTTCGGGTCCTAAACCCTAAGCCCTGTCTCATTGGCCTTGCCTGCTGTGTGCGAGAGTGAGCGTCACAACCCCTAAGTTTAGGGTTTAGGGTTTAGGATATCTTAAACCCCTAAACCCTAAACCATAAAACCTTCAAACCCTAAACCCTAAAGCCCTAAAAGCCCTAAAGCCCCCAAAACACACACTAAAC